GGTTAGCTTTGCTTTAAACTAACCAAATTTGATTGGAATAGACTTAATTAGTAAGTACGTAAGTACGTTAGTAATTACGTGCCCTAAAGAACGGAGAGAGAGTGTTTTACTGCACCAGATCGACTGGCATGAAAGTTGCTAAAAAGCTGTGCAAATGCCATTGGTTTGATTTTCTCGCGTTACAAAGCTATTACGATACAGCTATTGTATAGGACATTATCAATTTTTATTTAAAAGGCTGCAATCGATTAGAACGGATTTTCAGACGTTTTCCCCTAAGCCAACACAGGAAGCCCACATACCGTTGAATGTGCTTGCAATGCTTGATGGGATATGCCGCACGCCAAGAGTCTGGAACTAGTAGTGTTTTGGTAACGGAAGAAAAAGAGTTCGAAACTTGAAAATTTTATAAACTTGACTTTATATAGATCACTGGGTTTCTTGTCCATGTACTGGATAATCACAGCATAGGAATGTCTCAGAGCTATTCTCGATCCCGGAGAGCTCGTTCGGGTCGTCATATTGAACCTGATAACACGATGAGTGATACAGACACTGACTTGAACAATACTAGTGCTGATGTAGACTCTTCTTCAACATTCTTGATGTCCTCTTCATTATCTACAACCAATGCAGATAGCGATGCCGAGAATAGAGTCACAAAACAAATGATAGAGAAAAAGCAATTGATGCACGATTTAGAGCTGCTGAAAATTGAATTAAGTCAGAAAAACCTCATGATTGACAATTTGAAGGCTGAGCATATGAACCGAGTTGAYGACCTAGAAGAAAAAGTTTCAGAAAATAGACATGCTAAGCTCATGCTTCAGGCGAGGCTCGAATCTCAGTTAAAATTACAACAAGAGGAGTCTCAAACAAAACTTGAACGGATGAGACAAGAAATAAATGCTATAATGACTAGGCAGCATCAGCTTGAAGAGGAGAATGAAAGACTACAGGAAAAAGCAGGGGATTTAAGAAAGGGCTTGGATAACTTGAATGTTTTACCTGGAGAAAAATACCTTGAACTGAAATCCACCGACCAGGAYCAGATCAGTTTGAAAGATTTTGTTTTGGTAATTATTTTTATGCTTCTTCAATTTCTTAACCTAATCCAATTGCGGTTTTGATTMATAAACATAATACCATAGGTGATGTTGGATGTGGGGAAATGTATAATACACCTGGTGCAACCATATGACTCAAAATCCCTTGAGATATGAATGACAATGAAACGACGGCGATAGTGGTTGATCTATCAAGAGAAGCAATGGGGAATGTTTTGTTATTGTCAACCAAGATGGTGTTTATGAAATGACATGCACATGCTCTATAGTTTAAACCTATATATGTTAAAGATTACACTTATTCATTTGTCTCATGATTGTGGCAGTTAGGAGGACWAGGACATTTTAACTGCTACTGCTGGTCTTCATCAGGTGAAGGTGTAGACGGGAAGGTGGTCTTTTTATATACTGTCTACCGTATACCTTCCAGTCTACACAGTTGCCTGATGGAGACTAGCAGTCCAGTCAAAAAGGCTGTGATCCACGCAACTGCCACAAATCTTTGATTTATATCCATGATGGATGATCCTTTCCATTTTATGCATATTTTGTTATATTTTAGGGTTCAGTAGGGTGGATATTTTATTGAGTCTGCAGTATTTGGCATTTTATTATCCAACTATTATTTGTGGCCCAATATGGCCTTATACGGGCCTTGTATACATGTATGCACACTAATATGGAACATAATTATGTCTGAATCTTCTAGCTTGGCCCAAGTGCTTCATACTGTATCTTGTCTCACTTTATTGGAATACCGCATATCATACTGCACCTTAAAATGTAAAATATGACATTTGTATAAAATACATGTTAGCCTATATGTGAATAGGGGAGGGGATGGTGGGCAAATTTCTTACTAAAAAAAAATTGGCAAGATCTCAGTTCTGGAAATAAGTTCGACTTCCTATTACCAGTGGCCTAATAGATCACTATCTCAATCTATGATATTCTTTTCTTTCTTGAGAGTGCAAACAATTAATCCATGAAACACTAAAATATTACTAAATAATACAAAATAGTGCGAATCAAACAATGGAAAACAATGGAATTTGCATGAAATTGTGCTATTTATATTATCAATTGATTTCATTGTTCTTCTATTCTTCATTTGCATGTGATGTAATAACAGAAGAAAATTATGACTTGATTCTTCGATATGTTTTAGAGGACTATGATGTGGCTTAGTGTAGAAAATTTCAGATCATTTCACTGTTTTGTTTCCAAGTTGAGCAAATTTGATATTAAATTCTTCACGTTATTCTGACCATACACTGATTGATAATTAAAGTCATTGAAATGAACAAATTTTTGCCAAATCAAGCATTTTTACTCTTGTATATTTTTGTCAATTTGATTTGTGTCTGAAGTGAGTTTGAYAAATTGCTGTCATGAATTTTTTGAAATTTTGGCTGCAGCTTTTTTAGCCATCCCTAGTTTTCGCCTAAAAAATTGGAAACTTTGTTTGGCCTTGCATWGCTTGTTTCAAAAATGTTCTAATCTCTCTTTTATTCAGAGTTGTATTATTTGTAGCTAAATCGTTATAAGGATTATTTTTGATTGGAACTGAAAAATATTCTGCCGCCAGCAAAATACATGTAGCTTTAAATGAAGAAGTATCCTAAGAACAAAAGAGATCTCTGAASAGGTATAARCYTAGGGCTTATRACTGGGATTTTACTGTATYCCTTTGATATATTGTGGGAAATGCATAAATGTTTTATGCTTACAGGTCAAGATCTATGAAGCTGCAAACCCTTACAAACTGGAGTGTGAAAGTTTACATCAACAGGTTGATGTTCTTACAAGACAGCTACAAAGCAATGAAGAAGATGTTGCTACCTATCAAAAAGTAAAGAAAACTTCATAAAAAAACCTGTATATTTCGTACATCGTACATTAGTGGTAGAACTTTGATAACACTGAGGCCATAGTGCCCTCGAAAGTGAGAGGCAAAAGTTTGAAAACAATTTTTTTAAACAAATAATATTATTATTTGCACATCAATGACAAAAGACAAAAATGAGAAATTACAATCAGAAGTTACAAATTTATCAAAGTGATCAATAATATAACTGAGCTAATAGACCTAGTTGATCTTGGTTCTCTGTTTGCCCATTGCAGGCCACATGCCATTCCCAAGAGTATATTGGATACAATTCAAACAGAGAATCTTATTCTCTAGGGAATGGCGCGTGGTGTGAAATAGGTAACTGGTACTTAACCCAATGTTGATACATCTTAGTGTACTACCCATAAAATTTTTTAATAAAACAAAAAAATATTTTAATGAACTCTGAACAACCTATGGGTTGAACAAACAAATGCTAATTGAGTAGTTACCCACTTCACATCACCACCCTTTATTTATTTCTTCATATATGTCTTAAATATTTAAAAAAAAACTGATTTTACTTCATTCGATGGTTTTATTAAAAGGAAGCAGAGCAGGARAGGCTATCAAGATCAGAGCTTGAGTACAGAGCCCAGAGACTAAGCCTTCAGGTAGATGAGCTGAAGTCAAGACTTGAGCAAGGAGATTACAAGAAATCTAACTTTGATAATGTATTAGGGTAAGAATAAATTTTACAAATCAGTATATCTATCACAGTTTCTTTAGGAAAGCTAACAGATGCAGCCACACCATGCCCAAATCTCATACATCAACTAAAAATGCCAAATAACTTTTGTCTGACTTGGTTCAGCATYGGATTTTCATGCAGGGGGTCATGGTTCAATCCCAGGACAAACCAACACTCTTTCACAACACACCCTCCTTTTTACAGTTTCTACACCACACTTTCATTACCTGTGAAACATAGCATTTGGTCATGAGAACTGTTGAATTTCTATTCATTTCATTGTTATTTTTATGTTGAAACATTCTGTAAGTTTATTTAGACTAAATTTAACTAATGTCCAGTCCTTGCGATTGTAATTTTTAAGGGAGAGGGACTCGTTGGATAGGGAAGTAATGGAGATGAAGAAATCTAACACAGTTCTTGAAGCAAGTCTGAAATCAAAAATAGATGAGTTACACGAATACCATAAGGAAGTAAGCACCTGTTATCAATTTATCAATTTCCACCTCATTGCACATCCATTTTTTGTTGATTTGTTGCCGTACTCATTTGTTGATGCAAAGTGGTGTCACAATTTATATTCTTTTAGATGCAGGCTACAAAGCAGTCATTAGCATTACTAAAGCAAGACAAGGAGTACCTCAATAAACATGTCCAGGAGCTTAGCACCAGATATAACATAATGGAAGACCAACTAGAACAAACAACAAATCAGCTGAATGTTGCTAAACAAGCAAGAGAAGAGCTGTATGAAAAATACATTACTATAAGGTATTTTAATAAAAAATGATAAAAGGTCAAATTTGTCCCAGTCAAGACCACAGGCAGCCCAAGCAATGTATTTGTGGTGTGTATGATAGCAGAGCTCCCACCACATACTTAAGAAAAATTGGTAAACCATGGAGTTAATTTTTGATTGCTTGAATACTACGTCACTTCCGTCCGTACATACATTCGTATGTCCGTGTACACAACACAGGAATCCCTGGGCTGCCTGTGGTCAAGACAAGCTATCAGTACTGCTGGGTGTACTAGACGTGTTTTCTGTGATATTCCCTAACTATAGAGTTCCTTTAGTAATTTCTAAATTTGAGAGGATGATAGTGGGTTATCTACACACAGGCTTCGGACAGGCACAATATTGAACAAAACTCAATGAACACCCCATTAAATCACCAAAGCTAATAAAACCTGCCCCCTCCAAAACAGTGTTGAAATAAGGCTGGATCATTGTTCAACCAGACAGACCAACATGGAACCAGGGGGGAGACCACTTGTAAGAAAAACCCTTAATTCAATTTTGAAGAAGCGAATTCTTAACACTTTTTGTCCAGGATCGTGGCTATTTTTTACGCATGCAGTAAAGTCTATCCGTTTTGAATACGATTGAATGCAAATGAAAGCTTGTCTATTGTTTACAGGGAGCAATATAAATCAGAATACGAAGTCAAGTTAAAAGAAGAACTTAGCAACATCAGTATGAAAACAAATGCAGAACTTGAAAAGATTCGAAATGACACAAAAGAAATGTATGAAAGGGAAAACAGAAGCCTGAGGGAAGCAAGGGACAACGCGCTCAGTGAAAAAGAGAGAGCCAAGAATGCCGAGAGGGAAGCTACTGCCAGATATGATCAACTATTGCCGGAGTAAGTACGCAGATCTGTCAGATGTACATGTTATTGAAGATCTTAAAGATTTTGAAACCCGCACCTTTTACCCGCACCCCACTTTTTACCCGCACCCACAATTTTTACTCGCACCTGCACCTTTTACTCATGGAATACTCATGACTCTTTAATGGCTTTCATCTCCAAACGCTGTGATTGCATGAACATGATGACACGACTGCATTTTCTTGCTTGTTGTTCCAAAGT